TGCATTCCTTGTTCCTAGATGTATGACCTTGGAATTGGCTGTATTAAAACACATTTTGTTTGAACAGGCCCAACTTACCAAGTGATATGGGCCGGCTCCAGCTTTTCTGCTGCCCCAAGCGGCAAAAAAAAAGCCGATCGGTGGCACTTCGGCAGCAGCTCAATCGCGCTGCTTCATTCTTCTGTGGCAATTCGGCGGCGAGTCCTTCACTCCCTCTCTTTCTCTTTGGTGGCACTTCGGCGGCAGCTCAAAGAGGAAGAGAGGGACTGAGGGACCCACCGCCGAATTCCTGCCGAAGACCCGGAGGTGCCGCCCCGATACCGGACGGAGTGCCGCTCCTTTGTTTTGGCTGCCCCAACCACCTGCTTCCTTCGCTGGTGCCTGGAGCCGGCCTTGCAAGTGATCCAGATTGCTCTGTATGACTGTAGTTGAATCTGTTCCCTCCAACCACAGGATCTACAATTATTCCTACAAAAATTCCCCTATTTGCTGTCTCCTGTTCACTGCAGGAGAACAGGTTTCCTCAAAACAAGCTAATTTTCCCCCTGCACAACAAACCATCTCTTGACATGAGCACTCTCACCAGACTTAGCTCAGACTTCAACTTTCCCTATTCAGGGAATATTATTGATTAGGTTAGGCTGAATCTTTAATGACTTTCAGCTGAACTTTCAGCCTGTCTGTACCATTATGGTATCTGAATACCAGACTGTGGTATAATGACTAGGCGTTGAATGTTCTTTATCTCCAAGACTATGATTCGGCACATTGCAAGATTACCTTGTTCTTGAGGTTTTACAATTACATTGGCTGCAGGAAAGAAAAGCTGTGTTCACTAAAAAACAAACAGGAAATATCCAGACGGGGATAAAATTAACTGCCATAACAACTGGCAATGGAGTTCTCTACCTCCTCAGAGCTGTTTCTTTTTCTGTAAAATGACTGAGAGATAGTCTGAGTCTTCATTTCCAGCCTTGCCTTCTGATAGGGTTGGCAACTTTCTACTCACACAAAACCGAACACCCTTGTCCTGCCCATCCTCAGAGGCCTTGCCCCTACCCCGCCCCTTCTCTGAGGTCCCGCCCCCTGCTCACTCCATCCCCCTCCCTCTGTTGCTCGCTCTCCCCACCCTCACTCACTCATTCATTTTCATCAGGCTGGCTCAGGGGCTTAGAGTGAGGGAGGGGGTGAGGACTTTGGCTGGGGGTGCAAGCTCTGGAGGGGGGCTAGGGATGAGGGGTTCCCAGCCAATGGGAGTTGCAGAGCCAGCGCTTGGAGTGGGGGGGGCAGTGTGCAGAACCCCCTGGCTGCCCCTATACATAGGACCCAAAGGGGGGACATGCCGCTGCTTCTGGGAGCCTCGCAGAACCACAGCAGGCAGGGAGCCTGCTTTAGCCCCATGTGCCGCCAACCGGACTTTTAACGGCCCACTCAGCAGTGCTGACTGGAGCTGCCAGGGCTCCCCTTTTGACCGGGCTATTCCTGTAAAAAACCAGACTCCTGGCAACCCTACCTTCTGACCCTCAGCATACCTGGGAGAAGCCTATGCAGGAGTTAACACTCCAACTTGCTGCAAAATAAACAGGACTTCTGGACCCTTTTTTGGCCCAGCATTGCATTAAAATAAAACTATTTGTCATTTAATTTAACAATGCTTGCCTGTGGAGTTCAGTCTCTGTCCTAATGAGATGTTACTCTCTGCGGGGTCTTTTATACTTGATTATTACAACTCCCTCTATGCAGGTCTCCCTGGAGCTTTAATTATGGAACTGAAGCATGTTCCGGATGCCACTGCTGAAGTTCCCACTTGTTTCGGAGATAGTAGTTGCATTGCTGTTATCTTGAATGTCCTTCATTCCCTGCACTGATTTCCCAGACAATATATTGATTATTATCTTGAGATTTCAGTGTCGGCATCATCTTCTTCCCTCTTACTTCGTCTGAGTTGTCAGACTGCTTATGTTTACTCTTGTTCTCTCTGTTCCTTCAATTAGAGGATCCTTGTTATTCTCTCTTTCTGGTTTAACAGCCTGAATGATCAGACTTTTTATTGCTCTGTTCCTGTGCTTTTTAACAGGCTGTTCTGGCTAGTAGGGAGAATCAGGATTTTTGACGGTCTTTAAGTCATATTTTAAGACCTGCTTGCAATTTTTCTATACTGGGACTGCCCTGCTTTTATGGTCTGCTTTAACAGTTATTTTCAACTGTCATATTTGTATTGGTTTGAATTGTAGAGCGTGGTGTTTTGTCATGCTCAGAATGTCCATCATATTACCTAACGTGAAATTATGCTCATGTTGGCTTGGAGACCCTGGGTAAAATTCTCCTTCTTGAGCACAGCAGGGCTCCAGTCATGACTGGCGCCTCTGAGCACTACTGCGGTAAATAATAATGGAGATTAACCATTTAGTTCTCACCTTCAGTATTCTGCCCTTCCTGGACATACAAATTTTCATCACTCATGTCGGGTGAGTGGAACATTGAGTGTCTGAGAAGAGAACTTTTCCTTATGCCTGTTTGATAAAGCAGTTCAAATCTACAAAAAGAACAGGAGTACGTGTGACACCTTAGAGACTAACAAATTTATTTGAGCATAAGCTTTTGTGGGTTACATGCTATGCATCCGAAGAAGTGGGCTGTAGCCCACGAAAGCTTATGCTCAAATAAATTTGTTAGTCTCTAAGGTGCCACAAGTACTCCTGTTCTTTTTGCGGATACAGACTAACACGGCTGCTACTCTGAAACCTTTCAAATCTACAGCATATCTCAAAGAGAGGGAGATAGTTCAGCTTGAGCCATATCATGTTGTGTTGAAGTGATTGGGCTGCATCGATACTTGGATAAGAGACCTCCAAGGAACACCTGAGTTCTTCTATAAGTGGAAATGGTGACTCAATATTTAGCACTCTTTCTGCTCAGTCAGTGTTGAACCAATATCCCACCGTGGTGGTAAGGGAGTAGTGTAATGCTACTCAAGGATTGGATGAGACCTAAAACCAAGCTCATGACCACTTGCAGGCATTAAAGATCCCAAGGCATTCCTGATTAGAGTAACAGTATGGGTGTCTTCTTCAAATCAGATCATTACATTTTGCCTAACTAAAATTATCACTGAAATTTTATTTAAATATTCATTTATTATTCATTTCCTCTCCAGAAATGCTATCCAGGGTTTCTGCTAACATTTTACCTGACATCCCCTAGATTTTGCTGCAATGCATGAAGCAACCAATGTGTACAATGTGTTTATGTTTCAGATCCTTCATGAGGTCCTGATTTTTTTCAATAAGTAGATGAGTAGAGTCAGTCAAATTGTTTTGGGGGGAAGATTTTGAAACAGATATTTCAATTTGATATTTTGAACTTTAAATAAAATCAGATTTTTGATGAGATTTTTGCAACTGTAGAGATGGTTAAAATTTATCAAAAGTTCAAATAATTTAAAAAATGGGTAGTATGTTTTTGTAAACATTTTCATTAATTTCCCCACCTTTTTTTGACCTATTCCAGCATTGATAATCTGAAGCTTCTATGGACTACAATGGAAACTAAGGTTGCCAGCACCTCTAAAAATCAGGCAGGTGTCATTTGTTCGAAGGGTTTTGCCATTGGTGATCCACATTTCACTTTCATGTACAGCAGGAAAGAGAAACAAAAAATCTTTCACTGCTTAATCTATTTAACCCAGACTCAATCAAATTAGATTTTTGACTTATGTCCATTCAATAAAAACCTGCCAAGTATATGCATGATTGCACTACTAACTTACTAGCAGAACTGTGTAAATAATTTTTTAAAAAAATGTTTGACAAATTTCACCTCTTTTTTTTGTAAATTGACCATGAACAGATTGTACTTTTTCTCAAATACGTTCATTATTTGAAATTATTAATGAAAGAATTTCTGCTGATAATTCTTAGCCTCTAATTTGTTTGTGAGCAGTTCTGTTTTCTAAACTAGAGCATTCTTGCTTGGACCCATTGATCAACATGATGTTTTTGTCCCATCATCAGGACTGAACATAACTTAGAACTCAATTTCCAATGTGAATTCTCACAGTTAAGAATTTGAATTTATGAATATTTTGCAGTGCTCCCTTAAAACGATATATTGGTGAGACCATTCCACCCTCTAAATCGTTGGCGAGAGAATTCACAAAAGATTTAAACGCACTTACAGCATACTCATTCAGAAATGTAAATGGATCTTTGCAGGACACTTTTTGCATATTTATCCAGCTCTGCATACCAAATCTGCTAAAATACCTTCCTCCCTTGTTTTTTTAAACCAACATCAAGCAGGTGCAGTGTCAACTTGGGCTGAAATCTAGGTTCGGCTGCAATCGATAAGAGTTTTGCTATTGACTTCAGTGGAGCCAGGATTTTAAGCCTGGTGTTTATTTGAGGATTTTTAAAATATTTTTTTAAATCCAGAATCTCTCATGAGTTGTGATACAAATTGTTAAATTAATTCAGTTTATTAAGACTCAGAACAATAAAACTAAAAAAAGGACGTATATTTTTATGGCCCAAATGCCATACAGTTGTGATGTGTATGAAGAAGGTGAATGTTACATGCTGGCACATGGGTGTGAATCTAAAGGAGTCAAACTGTGTGTAACATACACATCTAGGGGTCTGGAAGATGGTAGAAGTTAGAGCCTCTGAAGCGTACTTGGATATAAGTCTGAATTTGTCCCTCTAGGTTGCAATCTGATTGGCTGATGAAGATTTCATCCTTGATGATCATAGGCCAAAATATTGGAGATGGATCTGAGCTTCAAACTTTTCATCTGCATTCAGATTTAGAACCTGGGTAGTCCTTATCCAGGGTTTTGTCATCCCATTAGATTCAAATCTACATTCCAAATCCTCAGAAAGTTTTGCGGTGGATAAGAATCTAGGTTTCTGGTTCATGTCTACAATAAATGCATAGGCTGTCACTCATTAACGACACTGAACCCGCTCAAACCAGTATGTCATGGATTACAAAACAAGTCTACAGCACCATAACCTTACATGTCACTTTACAAGTATACGACGGATGGACATGTCCCTGCTTCAGGGAGGTTAAGGTAGGAGAAAAAGCCTTCAAGATCATTCCCTTTACCATTGTCTTTATTAATTTGAATATATTTATCCTCCAGTCTCTGCCAACAATAAAACATTGGGCTATCTTTCCATGAACTTACCAGGAATATCACAAGGATGACAATGCAAATATAGGGTGTAGGGGCAGCAACAAAAGAATGTAAAGCAAATAAGCCTTAAATGGGGCATTACGTCACAGCCCAAGCCCAGAGTAGGAGGGCAATGTGGAGGCACCTTGAGGGGTGGATTGGGTTGAAGTAGATGTGGTAAGGGGAGCAGCAGGAACTTGAAGGTCCAGGTGACCGAGGAGAGGTCAAGGACACCCGACTCAGATCTTGGGAGGATCTGTCAGTTAAGGCAACCAAACCCTAGAGCTTCTTCTACTGGGATCACACCATGCCTGCCACCTCTATGCAGGTTACTCCCCTATAGAGGAGAATGGAGTCCTAAGGTTGTCCCTAGGAGGGCCAAGTTGGGGAGAAGCTCCTAAGCCATCTCTTCCCCTCATGCAGGAGCTGGGCCTGACTTTGCTTTAGGTTCAGATTCTGATCCGCTTACTCCACTTTGGTAACACGAGTAGTCCTCTTGGTTTCAATGGGAGCACTCAGAGAGTAAGGTGCTATTCAATGTTAATAAAGTTAGTAAAATCTGGCCCTTAATTTGGGATGGTTCTTCTACTACCCCTAGAATTTCTTCCTTTGCAAACATTAACAGAAAACTTTAAGCTAATTTTGAACATAGAATTTGTGATTAACAAAAAAATTCCCAGTGATTTTGGGGGTCAGGTGGCTTAACATTACCTGTGCCAGGTGGTTCCAAAACTGGATGGATCACATCCATGGTATAAGACATATGCCTTGCATTGTTGGCTGACTAAAACAGCCATTCATCAAGAGATAATTGCCAGATTTGGCTAACTCCGAATCCTAAGGAAAGCTGAGACACTTTTTTACGTTGTCAAGGACAATTCATCTCATGGCAGCTGCAGATTCAGAACTGCAGTTGCTAAGTGATTTGTTAAATTTTTTATTCATATAAAAAACAAACACAAAAGTCAAACGAAGCCCTGCTTACATTTCAATTTTATAGTGATACACAGCATGTGAGGCACTAGCACAGAAGAATAATTCTCATTGGCTAGCAGCTGTTGGATTCTAGAAGAGGAACTGGAAAGTATCAATTTATGAGCTTTTTCATATTTAAAATCTGTTAGATCCTGAGCAAAACAAGTTTCTACTTGGGGAAAAAAACTCAACTATTGATTAAAAAAAACCCTCAGTATGTTATGATTATCTATGCATAGTGAGGAATTTCAGAATATAGTTTATTTCTTTAAATGAATCAATATATTTTATCCACGTTTAAAAAATAAAGAGACTTGCACAACAGCACTAATTATCATCTGACTTTACCTTTGCTGCCTTCCTGAGTGTCCCAGTTCACCCTGCTTCTCAGTTTTAATCATTTCTGTATCAGTACAGCAATTTTACCTACAAAGTCATCTACAGTTTTTAATAGAGCTAAATGTAGTTATGTAAGTTGTGCTATATTATAAAGGGTTATTGGATGCAACCTTTGATGAAAATGATATATGTTGATTTCAGAAAAATGTAAAATATTCTGCAAAATTATCTCATTCTATATATAGCCCAACATTTAACAGCTTTACAAACCTGCAAAAGTTGGTTCCTGTAGAAAACTACCAGTCTACGTATGATGAAATCTGGAGTAGTAATACCAGAGAGCTGTCAGTCAGCCATCCATCCATCTAATTGGCTTCTTACCATCTTTCCATCATGTTTTTTTTATAACTGGTCGCCTCTGGCTAAAATGCAAATCATGAGGAAGAGCCGTCTAGAAAAAGCTGCTGCTTTCTTAATTATCTGTCAGAGTATGGACCAGTGGACCCTGGGCCACAGAGTAGAGTTATGCTAAGCAGCAAGGCATCATGGGAATTGGAGTGACAGCTCATTTTCCTCCTGTGTTTTTCCGTGTTCGAATGACAATGCAGAAATATGGTTTTTTCCCACACTTTCTCTGAACACCTGGGCCAATGCTCAGGGGAACACAAAGCCAAAACTGTCACATTTCCAGACATGGTCTTATTGCTGTCACTGTGACAGGATTGTTGACAAATGCCAGCAGTCATCTCAGCATCTTGGGAAATGTCTGCCGTGGTTGTGTCAACAGCCTGACAGAAATTGTTAATGTTTAAACTTCTTCCACTGACAGAATCCTGTCTTGCTGACAGTATTTGTCATATGAAACTCAATCTTTGTCAAACTTGCTTAAAAATTAACACTTCCTCCATTTCTTTTGCAAGTCTCTGCTTAACAGTGCTACTCTGTTGGTTTTTTTAAGTAATAAGATTTCAACAAGGTAATATTCCACAGTCCACAATGAGTCCAAATACACAATCACATTATGAACTTACGGCCAGCTTGTCCTTTTGACCTCCGCTACCATGATAATTATGCTTTTATTCCTTGCCCATTTTTTTTGCCTTAGGAATCAAAGTTCTGAATTATTCAAGAGCTATAAAAATCCTATTTCTGAGTGTACAATGTGGAAAATCAATTAAACAGAGTTAGTTTAGCACTTATATAAAAATCAAGTTACAAGTTTGTAGATATACATTAACTGAGTCCTTTCCCAACTTTGATTTTGAAGGTCAGTCCAGCTAGCTAGAGAAGCAAATTGTTCACAAGTTATATAACAAGTTTCATCTGGGAGCGTTTTCCCAGCTCTAGGCAGCATGGGAGTTCCTTGTTTGTGTGCGTATTACTGATTTCAGATGAAAAGTGGAATGATAGTTTATAATAAACATTGTATATGCATTAAAAGTGGAGCTAGAGTATCATGGGGTCCTTAGTTTCTTTGGAAGCATCATGATTGTGTACACCTATATGATTGCATACAAGAAGACCAGCAACTGATGCTTCCATACCACCTTGGACTATGATTTCATCCACTCTCATAGGCTATGCAATGATGTTTTTGGCTGGGACATTTGGCTGTCCTACTTGGGTAGGAGAACTTTGAGGGAAAAGGTTCACTTTCAGGAAGGGAGATCACAGTGCTGCAGTACAAGGTTTTGGAGAGTCATTAGAAGGTATTTTTCTCTGAGTCACTACCAGTAGTCAACAAATCTCCCAGCATGTGTTGCTGGAGGTGGCGTATTTCAGACAAGAGGTCAGAACATCGAGGCCCTGACCAATTTTGGCGAGTAAACATACATGGCACTTTTACAAGACTGGTGGCCTGGCTAAATTTCAGACTGAGTAATTACATTCTGCCTCCCTTAATGCCATCTCTAATGGCCACTGGAAGTCAATGGAAAGACTTAATGGGCACTGCATCAGGCCTTAGAAGCCTAGTCCAGCTCCCAGTAGATCAATGGGAGGTGAGAACAGGGCTCTACACTTTCCGTTGTACTATTCTTCACTTCAGTCCCTACACCGCTATATATTGTTTCCGTGCACTGTTAAGCACTGGCTATTTTCTGTCTACAGATATGGGTGGCTGCCGTTCGTAGGTAGGCAGAGAGTGACTCATATGTAATATACATTTAAGAGAGGCAATATATTCTAATGGACTGAGCATGAACCTGAGAGCTAGGGCCTCTTTGTTCTCCACTCAGTTGTTCTTCTGATTTGGTATGCAACTTTGGGGCACTTGTTTAAGCTAAACTGTGGAAACTTGGCTTCCTAAAATTAAGTAGCTACATCAGTCTGTAGGCAGTTAAATAAGTGACCTGATTTTCAGAAGAGCTGGACACCTGGCACTTCTGTTGAAGTCAATGATAGACAAGGGTACTTCTACACTGCAAGTGAAGGTGTGATTGTAGCATAGGTAATCAGACCATGCTGGCCAACAATAGTAATGAGAATGTGGCGGCATGTGTTTCAGCAGGCCCTAGCAACCAGAGTACGTACTGAGGATCCCTAATGGGCTTATACTTCGCTATATATATTGTTACCTATGCTCACTAGATTAAAGCCTGGGTTGGCGTAGCCGTGCTACCATCACACCTCTACTGCACTAGGTGTAGACCTATCCTAAGAGTACTCAGTACCTCTGTGCCTCAGGTCACCTATTTAGGTGCTTACCTATAGCTCTGGGTGCCTGACTTTTGTTCCTTACGTTAGAGAATGTTGTTGGCCTCTAACCTTTCTGCGTCTTAGTTTTCCCATTTGCCAAACTGGGATAATAATACTCACCTACCATGAAATTTCCACGAAATTTTAGATTTACAGGATAATAGAATAGCATAATGTTGATGTTAGTTACACAGGAGTGGTTTTCAGCTATTTCACTGTGGAGTTCCAAGAACGCAGGTTTGGTTTCTTTGGTATGCTGCACAGTGAACCCCATCGAGAGGTAGGTGTTTGAAATTCCTATTTTCTTAAATTCCTAGAACACAGGGATCTTGTATAAAGCACTGTTCGTTGTTTAAACTTGTTTCCTTAAGCTACAGTCAGGGTATACAAAAGAACAGTTCTTACCGTAAACTCATTTTATTCAGTTATGGTGTGTTTTAATATGGGCTATGAATATGGTATTATGTGTGAAAGTAATAGACAATTGAGTCAGTTCTGCCCTCCACGGTGCATTCCTAGCTGCAACTGACTTCACTGGGAGATGAATGGGAGTAACACAGGGTAAAATTGGATGTCAAAATAATAATCTACAATTCTATTGCACTTCTAATCCAAGGTTCTAAAGCACTTTATAAAGGTGGGTAAGTATTATCATCCTCATTTTACAAGTAAGGCGTCTGAGGAGCAAAGAGTTTAAGTGATTTGGGCAGGCCACAGAGTGAGTGAGTAGCAGAGCTGGGTTCAGACTCAAGCTTTTCTAGACCCCAGTCTCTTGTGTTAACTAGTTGACTGTGGTAAATTAAATGCTGTGGGTAAATTAAGGTTACTAAGGGTACGTCTATACCCAGCCGCTAGTTCGGCGGCTGGCAATCGAACTTCTGGGT